TAAAAGAGAAGACAAAGAGAAGATAATAAAATCAGGACTGAAATTGATGTAGTAGAAAGAAACAAAACAATATGAAGCATCAAGAGAATGGCTCTCTGGAAAGATTAACAAGGTTGACAACCTTTAGTCAAATTAGCTGAAAAAAAGAGAAAGGACTCAAATTAATAAAATTTGAGATGAAAAGGGACGCTTGACAGATAAAGAGGAAGTGCTGAGAATACTGAGGAAATATTTTAATAATCTGCATTCCATCAAACTGGAGAATTTAAAAGAAATGGGTAAATTTCTAGATATATATGGTCTACTAAACTTAAATCAAGATGAAATAAATCACTGAAAAAGTCTGAGAGAATCTAATGATACCAAAACATTAATTACAAATCTCCCAACTCAGGATTATAGAGATGGCTCATTGGGTAAGAGCAATGGCGGCTCTTGTACAGGACTTGGGTTTCATTGCCAGCACCCACCTAACAGCTAAAACCATTTGTAAATCCAGTTCCAGGTGATGCTATCTTCTGACCACCGTGGGCATTGCATGACAAGGGCACACCTACTTACATGCAGGCATTACACTCAGATACCTAAAATAAAAATAGTAAATAAAATATACAAAAAAAAAAAAAATCTCTCAACCCAACTCAATTCGCCAGTGAAATAAACAGGCTAGTTGAATGGCTTAGGAAACAAAATCCATCTTTTTGTGGTGTACAAGAAACTCATCACATCTTCAAAGATAGGACCTACCTACTTAAGGTGAAAGAATGTTAAAATATTCCAAGTAAGTGACACTAAGACACTGGCAGGTGTTGTGATGCTAATATCTGACAAAATAGATTTCTAGTTAAAATTATTCAGAAGAGATAAAGAAGGTCACTTCATCCTGGTCAAGGGAACAATTAAACAAGAAGGCATTACAATCATGAACATTTATGCACAAAACTCTGGTGTACCCAGTTTCATAAAAACAGTACGAAAGGACATCAAGACACAAATTAATATGGACTCAGTAAGTAGGTGACTTCAATACCCTGTTCTCTCCAACAGAGAAGTCAACTATACAAAGAATGAACAGAAAAACAACTGAATTAAGTGATATCATGCAAATATACAAATAAAAGTATTCCTAGAAATAATAATTAGTAGATGTGAAAAACATTACCATTGAAATCTACCTGACAACTTTATATCCATGCTCAGATGCCAAGGAGCTCAGAAAGTAACCGACTGAGACTAGTAATAATCAGATATATAGAGATTAGAAACGCATGTGCAAACATCTTAATGTCAATTGCATTGAAAATGAATTTTTTTGTATGAAACTGTGTATTTTAATAATGAAATGGAGGTCTTTGTTAAAGGTTAAAACCTTATTAATTTTATGTCTTATAGGGTATATGCTGAGTACAATATTGTATAACTGTAATAATTCAACTATAAACCTAAAAATTTACAGCCAGTTCTGAAAAAGATGCATCTTAGCTCAGAAAATTGTTATTGAATATGTCAATATTGCTGTAATGAAATGCTCCTTCTAAGTATGTGGTTATTAAATAAATAATTAACAAAAAAAATGTGACTTAGTGTCTTAAGCCCAGCACATCCATACACATGTTATGTGTATGCATACAATCACATGCTTGGACACGGCAACAGTGATGCCACATGCTTTGAAAATTCAATTATGCACAGTATTACATGAATAAAAATGAATTCTGACACAATTTCCTACAGTTCCACAAACCCAACATCATTGATGGATTTGTCACTGTAATCGATCATTTTCAAATGTTGATTTCAATTTTTATCTCTCGATATAAATGTTTTTCTCAGGATCGTATAATTCTTTGTCACTACTATGTACATGTCCATATTTTAATGTAATATATGTAACGCAATTCATACTAAAATACGGTTAACTCTTTTACTTTAAAAAAATTATTCCTACAACTTAATGAAATGGTAATACAACACAACAAAACCTCGGAGACATATAAGAGGGATGTTTATAGAAATAAGCAACAGATGGAGATTATTATACAATTCAACAACTGGTCAAATGCAGAAAATAATTATCAGTGAGACGCTTTGCCCAAAGTGACAGACCTTCAATACAACCTCTACACATAAAGTGAATGCATCTTTCAGCTCTCACCAGAGATTTCCTTATGTAGCGTATCAATGATGATTAACACAAAAAAAACAATACTGGCCAATGTACAGAGAAAAACAGGTTACAATGTACTCACCTCTGAATAGTACATCTATTTCAAACTTTGCCTTTCAAATCTCAGGGATCATTGTGGAAGAAGGGGTGGATAGATTGTGATTATGTTTTAAAGTTTTGGAATTAGATTATCAACCACAGAGACTCCAGAGATAGATATATATCACATGGTGTCCAAATATGTTGTGAGATAATGATTCCTTAAGATGTTAAGTGCTTTTTACAAAATAAATCATCCAAAGTGAAATAAACATAAGATAGAATAAGATCGAAAACAGTACGGCAAGATGCTTTTTGTCTGAGGATGATGTGTTTCTGTGAAACTTGAGTTGAAGAGGTGTCCTCCATCAATGGAAACTTAATGCCAGAGTGGGGACTTGGCCGTGCATGGACGCTTGGGCTCAGACAGAGGGAAGATCCATTACTCTGACCTCAACAGCTGCATATCAGACCAGGCATTGCAGAGGCCAGCAATGTTCCAGAGAGTGCAGGGATAGAGTCACTTTCTTCTAAATTGCTACAATGTTAAGAAGACAGATGCTGTGACATCATCTAACAGGGCATTTCAAGCCTGTCTCAAGCACTCTCCACAACACAGCATCCCCAGCCCTACCTGCAGGTTATAGTCACATAATGGGGGTAGAAATATGTGACCAGGTTTAAATCATTTGTTTGCTAGTCAGAACATACTACAGAGATCTGCAACTTATATTTAAATCCAGAAAATGCTGATTAGAAATATACTGAAACTATGGAAAAGTCATTTGTAAAAGGCTAAACTGTAAATTAAACAATTTATATCATGAACTACATTGTCCTCATTGCAGTCATGGGTGCTGGAGCTGAGCTTCTCTCCCCATCAGGCTCATAGAAGGACCTGAATCCTAAGCACAGTTTAGCCAGTCACTGACTTTATTGTGAACACAGGCCTCATCTGGATGCTGTCACACTTAATCCAAGTGAACATCCATGCAACATGTCTGCAGCACAAGTTTTACGAAATGTTTTGTGCTTCATTTGCTAATAAATTTTTCATAATTCTAATATGTAAAAATATGCAAAAATCCATTTCCTTCACTAAGAAAATGGATTAATAATTTGTACATATTAATATGCTAAACTACTATACAATATTAAGCTTCAAAGTAACAGAAAATATGATTCTGTATTTTTTATTTGTATGTATATGCATGTATGAGTGCAGGCATGCATGTGCTACAGCATACATGTGGAACATCAGAAGACAGCTATCTTTGGAGAGATGGTTTTTCTCCTGCCATCTTGTGGGAACTGGGAACTGAATTCAGATCATCAGGCCTGCTTCTACATACCCACTGAGCCATTTCGCTGACCCTGGTTCATAACTTTCTACACATGGCTACATGTTTGGAATTGTTCATCATTTACCATGCTTGTACTTCAGATGTATGAATCTGTTACTCTCCTAAAGAATGGGCAATCTCACTAATATTTCCTGATCACATATTTAAGGATGAACGAAAGCATATGCTGATTGATTCATCTTTTGGTTTGAAAGTACTCAATGTCATGTTGAGAAACAAGGCTCCAGAAAGTACAGCTATTGGAGGAAAGTAAAGTTCCTCTTGCAGGCCCAGCTATTGTGATCATATCTAGCACAGTTATCAATTCCTGATAATTAGGTAGGCAACAGGCTACATGTTTTCTAATTATATCATTTCTCAAAACAATTTTATAATGTCAAAGTGAGGGTCAGAATTAAAATATACAAATTATACTCTAGCCAATAATATTTTTTAGTTAACAATGTTTTCTATTTTACTTTAATTTACAAACTTGTAAAAGAACAGCAAAGCAAACAATCCAGTAAAATTTACTTGACTACTGAAGTCCATAATAATAAGAGGGAAACTGATGATGAAAAGCACTGGGAGGCTTTGTAATTCTCTGTGAAGATCAGTTGCACAAAAGCATAAATGATGTTTATGACACTGTGATAAGCAGTAATGGTTGTGTGTTCCAAACACAGTTAAATGTGAAACTATATTAGGAAAATGACTTCAGATCTGTTATTTCAGCATATATAGCATATATGGAATTTCATAACCATACATTTTTTCATTATTTTCATTTCCCACATAAATTAAAAGTAATGAGCAATCTTTGTAAACACATTTAAACAATACTGAATGGGTAGCCTGGAAGCCCATATTTAGCTTGCACAAATTTCTTTCTTAGTAAATTATTATTTTAAATGTTTTCTCTTCTCTAGCAATGGCAAGTTGGCATATTTACCTACCAAATGGACTAAATTAATATGAAATGTTGAGTAAATGAATCACACAGAGGAACTGCTTTTTATCTTCAATTCAATCTTGGCATTTTCAGAACAGAACAAGAAGTAAACAATGACATATCCTTGACTTCTGAAATGTTAAGAAGTATTGTAACGTAGCTTAATTGAGAGTATTAACATTTCAAAAACAAGTAACAAGAGGTCAGTGTCATCTACCAAAATAGAATACCTGCTTTGCATCCATTTTTTTTCTATTTTTCCTTTATGTTTTGATCTTCTCTCAAAAATTTGGGTTTTACTAAGAAATGCTTTTTCTTCACTATGCTTTCTGTAAAACAGGTAATCGGGATTTTTGTAACTCTCAGGACACAGAAACAAAACTTTATCGTGCAAGGTTCTGTTTTTTCTGAACTGTGTTCAGTTTGTTCTCTATGGTCAGTTCAGATCATGGCACCTCACCCAGCCACAGAGCTGAGCCCTGCTCTGCAAAGCACTCACCACAATTGGCTTCATCAGATGCATCTGCGCAGTCAGGATCCTCATCACAAACCCACAGCTTGGAGATGCAATGTTTGGTAGTTTTACATTGGAAATAGTCAGGAGAGCAGCTATTCTCAGCTTAAGAAGAAAATCTCCATTAATGTGAAACTTTGAACAAGAAGAGATACTTATAAAAATCAATTTGAAAACTCTTAAGACAGATCTATGAGAATTTATCTTTTCATTAATAGGGTACTAATCGTGAGGAAATTTAACTTTTAATTTCCTATAATGAGTTCACAATATCCTTCTCAGTGGAGTTAATAAAGGACACATTTTTGTAATTATACATCAATAAAGTCAGAGATTTAAAAAAACTCTGCAAGTTAGATAATTAGAAATTGTTTTTATGAAGAATTCAGAGCCACTCAAAATATTTTTTGCAAAAATTATACAGCTCATACTTGCAAAAATTATTAAAATTGTAAGATATTAAATGAATGAGTAAATATAAAGCATAAAGTTAAACAAAACATTCAGGAGTTGTGTGGCCCTCTGGAAGGAGTGATGAAAGTGTGACTCAGCTACATCACAAATCCTCATTGGTTTAGTGGATCAACTTCTAGAACGGTTGGCCATAAAGAACTGGTCCTGACTTTATTGTGAACACACCATCTTAATCAAATTGCTGCATGATTGCACATTATTTACTGATACAATTTTAGAGGACTAAAATACAATTTCATCAAGACAGAAGTGTTTGCAGTAGTTTGGTAGAAATCCTGAAATTTGACAAGTACTCTATCCTTTGGGTCCTGTGTGTGTGTGTGTGTGTGTGTGTGTGTACATGAATGCACGACTGTTTCACCATCTCAGCATGTAGTATTAACTGTTTTGCCTTCTTTTTAAATGTATTGCTGCTTTTTGAAGGAGATCAGAGTACAATGTGAACAAAACTAAAATAATTTTCTATTAATTTTCAAGTAGCTATTAAAACATTAAGTGGAGCATGGATTGTAACTAATTTTGTTAGGTCAAATCACCTAGATTTGAATTCATCATAATTCCAATAGGATTTCACAGGAGAAAAATCTCTAATTAAAATGGGGTACCTAATTTAAGTAACAAATTAGTCAATAGTAATAAATGACCTATACTTCATAAGGATTAATAAATCAATAAGGGGAAAACCTATCAATTGCTATGCTCATTTGGTATTTTTCTTTAAAATGGCATGAGTTTAAAACATCTTGTTGATATCTTTGCCAATCTCCAGGTAGCTATTAAAATAAAGAGCATTCATATTTAAGTTTTCTGTTTTGTGTACAACTTCTTAAATAGTACATTATAAATGACAGCATTTCAGAGTTATTTTCCCATAAAATTATCTTGCTTTTCTGCACTACATAACTTTGTGAAAACTAATGAATTTGTTCTAGTTTCAGCTAGGAGTTAAAAGGACAGGACAGGACACTGTGAGTGACTTACGACAGTCCCTTTCATCTTCCTCGTCACCACAATCATCTTGTCCGTTACATCTGAGGTTTACTGGGATACATTTTTGGGTTTTTGTGCACTTGAATTGACCTGACAGGCAGACATGTGTGTCTAAGATAGAGAAAACAAAATAATTTGACTTGAAACCTGTGTCAGAATTTAAACCAGTGCAGACATAATCTGTCAAGAATTAGCTGACTGCACCCAGATGAATTTTAGTCACCCACCACAGTTGAGTTCATCAGAGTTGTCTCCACAGTCATTCTCCCCATCACAGATGAAAGCAGGCAGGGCACAGAGTCCTGTTCCACACTGAAATCGTCCTGGCTGACATTTAAATTCAGCTGAGAGGGAAAACATATAGCTATTAAAGATGGAAATCAGGGCTCCTGACTCCTTAAATGGAACTTCTTGAATATTCAAAATGTTTGTCACATTATTACATTGAATATACGTGGAGTGCAAAGGGATTATGTCACATCAACAGAGTGCAGATTCTGATGAATAACAGATAACTCAGGCCTCCAGTCACACTTCATGTACTCACTCTGAATTTGGAAGGAACTGGCAAAGAATCATCCTAAGGGCTATCATTTAAAAAGCATTTAAGAGCTGAGAGGTAGGTTCCACAGTTGGTAAAGTGCTTGCTGCATAAATATGATGACCTGATTTTAAGTCCCAGAACCCACATTAAAAGGAAAGCATAGTGGCCCATGCTCATAACCCCAGTGCTGTGGAGGCAGGAACAGGTTGATTCCTGGGAATTACTAGCCAATCAGTCTGGCCTGTTCAGAAAACTTCAGGCTGTGAGTCTTGTCTCAAAAATCAAAGTGGAGAGCTCCTGAGGATGCCAACATTGACCCTGGCCTCAACATGCATACACCTGCACACACACATGCATTCCAACACACGAACACACACACACAGAGAGAGAGAGAGAGAGAGAGAGAGAGAGAGAGAGAGAGAATTCATTTAATAATGTCCTCATTTCAACGAAGCAATATTAAATTGTGGAATAAAAAGTAACGGAATGGAAAGTGTTTATTGAAGTTTCATTTTTAAAATAATAATTTCTTCGTTTTTAAATTTCTGCTTATGATGTGCCTATGGCCCCTGCATATAATCTGCTGCTATTTTAATGCCTCCTGTATATATCACATTTACACCACATTTACTAATTGTTCCAATGCTAGTTATATATAATATTTTGATAGCATAAATATTTTACATGGCATGCATGTTATTATACTAGCCCTCAAATGACGGCATTTTCTTTGCTATATGATTTGATTATATGTGAGAACAACAAAGAGTGTGTAAGATGTACTGAGATCTACTCTGTGTTAGGTAGCAGCCTATACCCATTGCACGCATTTTCTATTTCATATAACTTCCCATATGAGCATTAGAATGTCTACTTACAATTAAGAAAATTAAATGTATGGATACTCATAATTGACCCAAGGAGGTAAAATTTTCCCAAGACAGACTTGGCTTCAGATCCAAACCTGACTCAGAAGCTTCTGCAAAGTTTACATTGTTTGCAACGAAATATAATTTTTTTGGCTCATGATCCTCACATGTTACTAACTAGGAGGTTTGTTATTTTCTCAAACCAGGGAATCAAACCTGAATTAATACTATTTTAAACTTGCTATGGGAACTACATTATGTTTTTCATTGCGGTATTTTCTAAAAAACCTAAAGTCTTTAATAAGTAAATTTGATACATGCTTTACTTGGTAAAAATTCTAAAGATTTCTAAAATAACACCTATAAAGCTTGCAATGACATTAAATGTTTAACTACATGACACATAATTTCATCATACTATTTACATTTCTGTTTCCCATTACTTCACATATCGTTTAGCATTTCTTTGCTATATAAACAACTTTCCCTTAAAAGGGTTGCAATTATTAAATGAAGATTTGAGAAATAACTCAAATCTAACTTGATTTTATTTTTTCAATGTTTTATCTATTTTTTTTATATTTTTATGTGTATGTGCATATTGCCTGCATGTAGGTAAGTGCACTCATGTCATGAAATGCCCGCAGAGGAGAGAAGAGGCTGTCAGATCCCCTGGAAGTGGAGTTATGGATAGTTGTTAGCTGCCATGTGGATGATGGGATTCAAACCCAAGTCTTCTGCAAGAACATTCAGTGTTCTTAACTGCTGAGCCATCTCTCCAGCCTTTGAAATAATTTTGGTGTACTGCAGCATCATATCAAATGTGATTTTAAACTCATGATGACAGAATTCTTAATCCCTCACTATTCTACATTTACGGATTAACACTGGGTAAGTTTTCAAGTGTGTGAACCTGGCACAAGGTGAAATTACAGGCAGCCAGCGTATATGCATAAACAATTTGATGATGCGGTAAATCAAAAATATAATCTCAAGACTTCACAGTTTCATATTCATAGATGTCTTTTTCTACATCACATGACTCCAAATGATTTATGCCAATAGATAGTTAAGGATTTAACCCACTGACTACAAGTAAAAGTTTGTTTATGGTCACAAAGCTAATATTATTGATAAAAACATGAAGGACTACTGATAAAAGTCATAATTAAAAACTTCCATGATAATCGATTAGACACTGACCCCAAAATATAGGTAACAAAGCAAAACCAGACAAATGTCGCCATATTAAATTAAAATGCTTTTGCACAGAAAATAAAATAATCATATTTAAACAGACAACATATGGGGTGGCAGATATATTTGCAAACTATAGATCCTGAAAGGGGATTGATATACTAAATATATGACAACTCAAGAATAAGGACACAAAAGGCAAAATTTTAAGAATGGACAAAGGACTTAAGCAGAAACAAGAGCAAAAGCCATCATTAATTACAAGGGACATGAAAATTAAAACCATAATGAGATGTCACTTCACATCTATGAAAATCAATATGAGTTCTCAAAGACAAAAGATGGCAAAAATATGGTTAAAAATGACTATAGATAGCAACATATGTTACTGCATGATATGGGAAGTTATATGAAGCTCCCTCAAAAACAAAATAGTATTATCATGTTAATCAATGATTCTAACATATATGTATGTACAAGTATAAATGAGAGGAAATTAATATATAAAAATATGTTATAACACCAGTGTTTGCTGCAGCATTATTGGTGATAACACATATGAATATCAAATCAATTTGTGTCCATAGATGAATGGATAAAGAAAACATGTCATGTAAAAATACTGAACTATCATTAACACTTAATTTAGAAGAAAATATTTTCATTTATAACAATTATCATGAACTTAGAAAGCATTCCCTGAAGTCCAGTGATTCAGGCATAGAAAGAGAAATATTACTTCACCCCATTTATTTGCAGGATTTGAAAAAAATTAAAGAAACAAAAGGTAAAATGTTGGTAGTCAAAGGCCAGTGGGACGATTGGGGGATGTTGGTCACACTGCACAGAAGATCAATTAGGCAATAGGAATAATTTCAATAAATGTATTTCATATCATAATGACAATAGTAGCAATACATTGTGCACTTGATCATTGTGAGGAAAGCATATTCTTAATGTTTTATAAGAAAAAATGCTAAGCACATAAAGTTATATATATATATATATATGCTGTGATTTAAATTGGTCATTCTAATATATACATATATTAAACAGTTATTATATGCCATAAACATATATAATTTGTCAATTACATATAAAATATGTACATGCTTGAGTTTAACCAGGATAAGGTGCATACATAAGCTCTTAACAGTGTGTCTTTTTTGTCCTGTTCAAAAAACCAAACTTGACTACACACATTCAGAAAGTATGTAATTGGGCACAACTCACTATATTAGCTCTGCAGCTAAATTTTCACATCACTATGGTTACAGCATGGAATTTCAGTGAAAATTACAAACAGAATTGAGATGCTGAAAATATATTGAAAGAAAAATCATTGTGATATTGATTTTGTTGCAGGTCTTTAGGGTTGTAATCATTTAGAAGATTGTGACTCAGGTCAGCAAAAGACATCTTAAAACTAGAGTGCTCCTTTGCCATCTGTTTTTAAAATCTACTGCAGCCACGTCTATTTACTTTATTTACTATATCATCTGAAAGTTTATTTTATTGTGGAAAATAAAGTTTCTATTCATGTATAAGTCTTTGTAAGTGCCCCCCTCAAAAAAAATTCATCTTCTTTTGACATTCAGTTTAATTTACTAATTTAAGAATGCAATAATTAAACATAATTTTATAACTGTTTCCTATAGGTCTTGCTTCTTATGCATTGTCTATCACAGTGAAAACAAAAATTATTATCTATTTTTTAAAAATAAAAAGCGATGAATCTTTCTACAGCAACAACAAAGATTAGAAAAGCAATGACTTTCTTCTTATTTCTTATTCAATTGATGACTTCCTGTTTTCCAAAGATTAAGACAGCATATGAAACAACTCCTACAGTGTATTAGGCTTGGTAGTGTCCAGAGAGATAGAACATGGCTAACCTAAGTAACTGTCTAGAAAATGTGAAATAGCTTTATAATTAGGTGCTGGAAAGTTCTACAGAAGTAAATAACTGGCATTCACTCAGACAATACTCTGTCTCTCTTCAGCACACGTCTAAGGATCTTGAACTCAATTGTCAAGGCCAAGTCATGGCAACCATGCAGTGGGATGAGGAGGGAATTATCATGATTGACTACAAGCATCTTCAACTTGACAGGGCAGTATTGGAGTGACCTATGGAGTAAACTATAAAAGGCTCTCCAGGATGTCTTCTGATTGCCCATTATCACCTAAGTTACCAATTATTGCTAACCCAGTAGTTCTAACCATGGCATTCAGTCAGAAGTCATTTTATAGAAGCTGCCAAGGGCAGATTAAACCAAGAAATGGTAAACTAAAAATTAGTACTGAAAAGTCTGATTTCTCAAGGTTTTTCATGATTTAACACTGACAGAAAAGTTAAGAATGTCCATCTATTATAGGTAACGGACTTTCTAAAACTTGCCCACTTTTGCTTTCAATTTTGTGAGTACATTAAGTTGAAAATCATACCAATTACTATACTATTGGAAACTGTCTGAAGCAAGGTAATCATTCAACAAGCATTCAGCTTAGAAAACACAACAAATTTCTGATGGCATCGTCATTTTAGCCAGCTAAATATCACAGTTATCAGAGGTACAACCAAGATGCTGCAACGGTTTTGGTTATTTTTTTTTTAGGAATTGTGGATAAAAATTTCCATTTCAATGGTAGAAATATATGAGAAAATACTTTGAACTGTGCCTCAATTTTTACAAGCCTTTGATGTAAAGAACTGAGTCTATTCCAGCATTTGTCAGTATACTCACGACAGTCATCGGGCTCATCAGATCCATCGCCACAGTCATCCACAGTGTCACATTTCCACCAAAATGGGATGCACTTATCAGTTTTGCATCGAAACTTCAAAAAAAAGTTTAAAATATTAATAATACTAACACTTCTATAACAGATATTCATGAATATCCCAGGGTAACCAGCCCAGCCTACTTTCATACTAGAACTGTGAACATTCATGACCTTACAGTCTTTACAATGAGTGAATCTACAAACCTCAGCTTAATCTGCCAGGAAGTGGCACTGCTCAGAACACCCTGGGGATCTGATCTGCTTGCCAATAGCCATGTGTCTAAGGGCTGCTCTTCTCCACAAGATGCTGAAAAGCTGCTGCAAAGTCTTGTGGCTATAGAAGACTAAGACATTTGTCTAATCTTACATAGACTATATAGACAATGTTTCCCAAACAATAGCAGGCGGGGGGAGAGGATGACCAGGCAAATAAAGAAGAGGCATCAAGTAGAATTATTTTGGTTAATCTGAATTAGTTAAAATTGTGTTTCTTTAACTATCTTAGATAATTAAGTAAACATCATGTCAGCCTTTTTTCTTAAGAAGTTGAGCATAATCTGAAGCATAATCTTTCCAGATCTACAATGCCATGATTTCATGACTGCTTCCAAACTGAAAATACTACCTGTAATCAGAGTATGTGTTTTTCCACATAACTATTAAGAGCACTTCAGTGGTCAAGCCAGTTATTTTCAGTTATTAAAATTATTTAAAGATATACACACCAGGGGTTAACAGGTGTGAATGTGTTCATAGTACATTTATACATGTGTCAGAATCTTACTGGGACTTATTATTTTTACAAGTCATATATGCTAAAAGTTTTGAGTGTATGTGGTCTGTGAGGATAAACACAGGGACTTCATGATAATTTTTAAAAATATGTAAAAATTAAGCTGTGATAGTCTTTTGATGATTTATGTATTTACTCATTTTTTACATTTTATTTGAGGCAGGAACTGTGTGTTCTTGCCCTATGCCTTGAACTCATGGCAATACTCCCTAAGATTGGAATCACAGGACTGAACGACTACAAGTGGCTAATTTCTTTTGTAAAAAGAGAAACAGAAGAAACTTGTTGTTATAAGACTTATTATAATTATTTAAAATACTGGTCATTGAAAGTTTCATGAACAGATTTTTAGCATCCTTTCCATTTAAAATATTGAAAACAGTCACAAGAAAGGAAGTCATAGGAATAGAGATATTTCAAACACTCCCTTTCAACATTAACTATGAAACGAAAGATTACTTATATAAAAAGGTTTTTGGAATGGTTATAAATCAATATTTTCTTCTAGGCAATCTGGCATGCAAGTAGTTTAGTACAAGAAGAAAAATTTACTTAGGAAGTTAACTCATGCTGATCACATAAGGAGGGAACTCTGAGTCCAATAAGTAAGGTAAGACAGAAAACAAAACTGTTTCATTGTTCCGGTATTTATTTTGTTTTGTCTCGGTTTCTGGTTTGTTTTTGTTTTTTTCTTTTGAGATAGGTTTTCTTTAGCTCTGACTGCCCTTTTACTTGCTGTGTAGCTGAGGATGAACTTGAACATCTGTTCCTCCTGACTCCATCTCCTATATACTGGGTTTACAGGCATTAACCTCAATGCCTATTCTTTTGTGGTACTGGGGATCATATACTCTACCAGCTGAGTTAAAACCCCAACCCCAGTGCCTTTCTTCTAGGTGCTTCACTTCGGTCCAACTATGCACAGCTACCTATAAAACTCAGTCAATTTGTACTTTAGTGATTTTGGCCACATGTAAATTTCCTCCTTACCAACATTCAAATAGAAAAAAACAATAAAAGCACACTTTCTATATAGAAAACACATAGCTGAAGTAGTTAACATAAAAAGTTCTTTTTTAAATTATCAAAAACATACGGTAAGATTAGTCAAATTCTTTCCATGCTATCAACTTATTTTCATCTTTATTCGTCAGAAATTCGGTGAAATCTTTAAATTATAATATTCAGCTGAATTGAAAACATTAGGTGGATAAATTTCTAAAAGTTGTTTTTATTTTAAAGTATCATATCATAACTCTCATGAAGGGAACTTGCCATAAAAATATGTAATAGGAAAGTATTTCATTGGTTCAATTATCTTTAATAGAAATGGATAAGAAATCTGTTCATCTAAAATACTGTTGCTTTAGTAAAAGAGTCTTTGCTGTTAGCTTTTGCTAAAGAATCTGAACAGCAAGGAGTTGATTCTAGATTGAAGAGTTCTAAGTACAAGACTGAATTTTTCTTCCTGTAGAAATATAGGAGGGAATAGAGACTATGCACCTAAGGGGAGATCTGGCTGTTCAAATGACTTTCTTATATTTGCTTAGCCTGTGGTCGTGTCTGATGTGGTTCTGCATAAATTACTAGAGGGAAAAATTACCTTTATAGACAGTGACTGTCTGGGGAGATAAGGCTAAATCTGAAAGTAATTGCCTTGAACATTAAATATTTCCAGTCATTACAGTATATCAAACATATTTGTAAGAGATGTCAGGTCTCTTGAGTATCTTCCAAAGTGTTCACAGTTTTGATGGAGAAAATATCTAATATATACTAAATTCACTACACATATCTGATTTAAATAATAACTATTGGAATTATATATCACTTGATGATTCTGTGCTCCATTTCAATCTAATAAGAACAGAAAAGGGTTTTGAATTTAGAGAAATGCAGATAAAGTATGCTTACATTAACTTTTACTACTAATAAACATGTTTGTATCCAAAGATATCTTCTATTTAATGTCTAGGCTTCATTTTTCATACTTAAACTCGGTAAATTAAAACGATGAATGTAAAATAAACATTCTTCATGGTAAATGATTTCCAAGACTAATAGTATTTTCATCAAATGAATTTAAGATTACAGTTATCCCTCAGAAAAAGAATCTGAATACAAGATAAAGTGCAAACCCACGTGAAGCAAAGTATAGTTGAAACATGAAGAGGCTTCATTTAAAAAAATATACGAGATCACTTTAAAAATGAATGTTTGCAAGCCGGGTGTGGTGGCACACGCCTTTAGTCCCAGCACTTGGGAAGCAGAGGCAGGAGGATCTCTGTGAGTTCAAGGCAGCCTGGTCTACATAGTGAGTTTCAGGACAGCTGGGGCTAGAGGGAGACCCTGTCTCAAAAAGTTTTTTAAAAAAAAAAAAAAAAAAAAAAAAAGAATGGTTGGTCCATTAAAATAATTTAATAAACACCTAGAATGATTAGTTTTACAGCTCAATTTAATCCTCACTTTCATCATATTCGCTATGTCTTAATTCTAAAGGATTTCACATTACCGTGTTTTTGTCTTTTATTTTTATAAAACTTATTATTTGGGGAATATGGTATTGGCAGCAATTACTAAATGAAAACAAATCAAATCTCTCAGTAACAATAAATTGAAACTGGAATTTTTATTTCATTTTATTTTTGTGTATATGTGTGTTTATGTGTGTGTTTACATACACAGGTGCAGGTACAAGTGCAGGGGCTTTGCAAGCCTGTGGGTGAGCTTGTGTGCAGAAGTCAGGGTTTAACGCTGTGGTATTCCTTAGGATGCCAGCCATGTTGTCTTTTGAGACACCGTATAGCAGTGGCCTGGAGCTCACCAAGTAGGCAAGGTTAGTTGGCCAGGTATCTGCCTGCCTCCACCTGCCCACCACTGGGATTACAAACCAAGTCCACTCTGCGTGTTTTTGTTGTTGGTGGTGGTGTTCTTTTTAATGTGGCTTCTGAGGATCAAACTCTGGTCCTCCTGCTTACCAAGAAAGAACTTAACAGATAGAGCTATCTAGACAGCCCCTAACAAATAGACATGTTTAATCTAAATGTTTAATGGTGTAAGTCTCAACTACTTCAATTATTTGCTTCATTTAAATGTCAAGCTCACTGAAAATTTTGTTTCTACATTAAGTTTTCTCAAAAAAGAGTGTAGTATAGATTTTCCTTCATGACATTAAAGGGAAACGGAGACAAAGTGACTGAAGTTGAAACCTCCAGTGGGTGGTGGTAACAGAAGTTTTTTTTTTAAATTTTTTTTTTTTTTTTTTTCTCACAGATCAAAGATGTGGAGTGATAACTCCCCCTTCCCAAAATGATCAACTACATTGTATGAAAGTCTCAAATCAATAAAAATATTTTTTAAATATAGTTGAAAACAACAACATCTGCCTGACATTTTTGATTATTTATTCTACCTACTACTTTTCTGGAGTTAATAATAAGGACTATTGAAGGAACTTGGAGAGTTGTAATTGCTTTATGTCATCACTGGCATTTAATTGTGAAGTAAATGATCAAATTGGGAAGTAAATTATATGAGCAGTACTTATAGGCTGGCTGGGACTCTACTTCATGAAAAGACTTGAGGGGAATTGAACAAACATATTTTTTGATTTTCTCATATAGCTCCTTTTTAAAATAGCTCCTAGAGAAAAACTGGCTTTTGTCACATCCCCGGAACAACATAAATTCTTGCTATATTCTAAATACATATCCTTATACTTAAAACGAGCAAATCTCTTACCACTCACCAAAGAAGTTTCTTTCTGAAACAGGTGAACACTACTACAGAGTTTCACCACTGGTCAAATGCATAGAACAAGTGTCTGTGTGGTACCTAGCCCTAAGCGATACATCCGCAGTTCAACCTCTACACTTAAGGCTCAAGGGCCTTGGAACAGGGGGCAGAAAATGCAAGAGCCAGTGGGACAAGACACCTGCTCTATCTAGGCATTCTAGACATTCTAGCTGCAACAGTGAAATCTCCACAGTATGGTCATCTCACAGGATCTGCATATAATAAAATCAGCTGAAATACCAAGGTGGATAGAGAAATTTCCCACCTCAAGATGAAGAATTGCAAACAATCAATGGATGCTGAGGGAGGGAGAATAAGCTTTCTCCAGGCTACCTAATTCCAAGTGGGCAGCCCTAAACACAGGTATACAGCAGCACCTCTGAATGGACTCGGTACTGTGTGTGTGTTTGTGTGTGTGTGTGTGTGTGTGTGTGTGTGTGTATCTATAAATGTATGCATGTATGTATAACAATAATAATCAAGAAACGAGCTAGGAAATGGGGGAGATGTATGAATATCTGGAGGGGGACTGGGAGTTATAGAAATAGTGTGGAGACTATATACTATACAAATGGTGTGAAGACTGTATGACGTTCACACACACACACAAAAAAACTGTTAAAAAAGATTAGGATGTTTGTGGAATGCTGTTAAATAACAGTAGAAAACAGATTAATACAACTATCATACCAGTTAAAAGATGAGAACACTGAGGCACCAAAAATTTTGGTAACAAGCCCAGGTGACCCTACTAATGCAAAGCAGAGCCAGGGTTGTAGTGATGAATTCAGGATTCAGCATTTGCCTTTAATCTCTACAAACACTGACTTCCTGGAAAGGCCAAGCTCTTTCCTCTATGTGTGCTTTCCTGTGTGCTATACACAGGCCTGCCTTGAGAGGTAGGCTGAACTAGTGCTGGCTTCTCTATTTCAGTTTCACTTGAAAAGAAAATCTCTGGTAAGTATGTACTTGATAGTAACCTGAAAATGAGCAAATGCAAATCATAGAACTGAATGGATAAGTTTCCTCATATAAATAAATATTTGTGTCTTATTTAACATCATCTCATATCAAACAAGAAATAGACTCCAATATAATGAAGTTTAATATCTAATGTCAAATGACTATTAAAAATCTGGGTAATAAACCAGGCATGGTAGTACACACTTTTAATCCCAACACTTGGGAGTCAGAGACAGAGGCAGGCAGATCTTGATATCGAGGCCAGACAGGTCTTTATATTGAGGCCAGCCTGATCTATGTAGGGAGTTCCAGGCCAGCTGGGGCCACAAGAGATGCTGTCTCAAAACAAAAGCAAAAACAAAACAAAACAAAAATAAAACAATAAATAAATAAATAAATAAATAAATAATCTAGTAATAAGAAGTAGTAAAATGAACTCCATTCAACTACCTACCATTAAGTAAATTTAAAAAAAATATCTTCACTGAAAATAATTAAATTCTGATAGGAAAATTTTTTACCAGTTATTTTGATCATATTTTAATTAGAGCATCTAGACAAATCATTCTTTATAAAGTTTGCCCTTTCTCTCTGTTTCTGTCTCTGTCTGTCTCTGTGGTAAGGGAGGGTGGCGTAAACAGACACTTCATGACTCCATCCACCTTTACTATGCCATGCCTCAGTCACCTTTCTTTCCTGAACCCTTTAAAATGAGCTCTAATGCCACTGAGGACTGGAGTCATTGCTCTCTGGGAATCATAGTAAGACTAGTTTTTGTTTTAGCTTTGTTTGCTTTCCGGCCTCTATACTCTAATGCCTCGTCTCATTTTAAGAATATGCATTAAATCACTTTTCCCTTCCTCCATGACCATCTGTACAGTGTCTGGACTAAGCATCTCATTCTAAATAATAACATAAAAATCTTTCAAAATGGTTTAACATGTAAGCAAAGTCAGGCAACAATTTAATAGCCCAAATGACTCCAGACATCCACTCACCTGACTGGCTGTGCAGTTGGATAAACAAGTTTTATTATCAGCTGCAAGGTAGAAGTTGGTGGGACACGCACAGGTGTGGGTCTTCCCAGGGGCTAAAAGGCACAAATGGCTGCAGCCACCATTATTTACTGTGCAGAGATGCTTGGAGACTACAGATGGGAAAAATACAGCAAATAATTATCAAGACCACCAATGTAGCAGAGGGTTAGAGACTGGACTTTTAATTGTTATTTGAATAAACATTTGTAATTAGAACATACCAAGGTTATGAAGTTTTACAAATGCTCTTTAATATCTTACATCATGAATTTTGTGATTAAAAAATAATTTTAGGAATTATTTCTACAAAAGCAAGCATGTTAGTAGAAAAATAATTGTTCATCAGAAAAATAAACAGAGATTAGAAACATTTTGGATGAAGAAATACATGTGCTTAGAAAGTTAAATGCAAAATAAAGCAATGGAACATGACCCATAACAAATAGTATAGAGACCGTGTTTTCTAAGGAGGAGTGTATTTAGAAAAGTTACCAAACCTTTATTCCACAAACTCTAGTAGAATCTGATTAAGCACATTGGATATTTGCAATAGAACCCCAAAACATTAAAATATAAGTCTTTTTACCCAATATTCCGGAAACTAAGGATCCTGTAGCTTTATGGTATACCAATTATTTTAAGAATGTAATATTCAGTTCTCTGACTACATGTATTGTTTTCACTTCAGCTTAATGTGATTTGAACAAATTAATAATTCCTTGTGCCACTATTGAGCTTCTAAATCACAGCCTTTACTAGCAGTGCTTGTTAGGAAATGAATTTATCATACCAAATAATGCTAAGTAATGTAATTTGATCATTTTTTTCAAACATAAAACTATACTTAACCTTAAAATAAGAAAAAATGGAATGTTACTGAAAATGTTGATGCATTATGGAAATTATGGAAAGAATAATTACCATCAGGTTGTCTATAAGAATGATACACCTGGATATCTGTGATGGCATGCCATGAGTTAATCAGTGAGAGTCTGTCTGCTCCCGAGGTTTTATGGGCACGGCTGAGTGACTTGGTTTTCCCATCAGTCCAGTAGATGTAGTCTTCAAACAATGTTAGTGCAATCACCCCTGGAATATCTTGATTAGGGACTGTAATAGGAGATGGTAAGATTAATGTTCGGTCTTGGAAGACTGCCAGGTAAAATATTCAATACTACATGGGCTGACAGATACAACTGCTACAGAACTTCATGTGAATAATAGTTCTGACAAACTGTCAGGTTGGCCAGATTCTTTATTACCAGTTAAGAGAATGCAAGATTGGGCGCCAAAGTTCACTTTGTTCAAATTTAGCTTAGTTTAAGCACTGCACTGAAAATGAATGTGATTCTTCTCACCGTTAAAGGAAGATTGCTTCAGCAGAAACAGGTAGCAACCAATATTTTAAAATTGAAAATATGGAGATTCTAGGTGTGTGTGTGTAGGGATGTGTGTGTGTGTGTGTGTATGTGTGTGTGTACATATACATATACTGATTACATAATCTTTCAAGGACGAAATGTGTCTACTGTCTGAACATAGAGTACTATGAAACCACTATAAAGCATTTTGATTTATTTGATTTTCATGAGAAACTTTAGGATGAGTTAAAGGTGGAAGGAAAGGCATTCCAGATAAGACTGTATCATGAAGATTTAACAGTTTTAAAACTAGCTGCTGATTAAAATTACTTTATAATTATACCTTCATTATAAGACTTAATTTAGATATAAAAAATAGATTTAGCACCACAAGTGTGAGCTTTTCACATGAGGTTTTCTGGGGCCTTGATGGAAAATGAAATGTAAAAATCTTTTTGTGTTACATAATTTTCTCTTTTTGTGGTATGAGAGATTATTGCCAAGTGCTCTACAACTGAGCCACATCTCCGGTTCTGAAATGACTTCTAAACATTACAGAGTTTTATTTCTGCTACTAATTTCTCAAAGTTGTTAAATAAGTTCAGAAATGGAAACTCTCAAATCTCTACAAATATTCTAATAATTTTCTGGACTAATTATCATGTTTATCTTTCAAATATTCTAAAAATGCATTAATGCAAAAAGCAAAACAGCTCCAATAATACATTTTTTTCATTTGTCAGGTTTTAGTGACTGAAAATTAATGTTCAGCACATTCCTCATGCAGAACCAACAGAAAAAAAAAAGAAAATTTCAAATACTGTTCATTTTCTTGAGGGAAGCTTACAGCTCTATTTTTAAAATATTTTATTTACTATTTTTATTTTATGTGTATGAGTATATTGTCTGTATGTATATGAGTGCACCATGTCAGGCAATGCCATAGAGGTCAGAAGTGGCTTTGGATTCCCCTGGAACTGGAGTTAAGCATGGCTTATAGCCACCATGTGGGTGCTGGGAATCGAACTCAGGTCCTCTGCAAGAGGAGTCAGTTCTCTTAACTGCTAGGCAATCTCTCAAGCCCCATAACTCTATTTTTAAAGTGCTAGGTAAATTTGTGTTGTCAACATTTCAAATTTCTGATGTGTTTATAATAAATAAATTGTGATCTGAGAATTCACTATGATTTGACAGAAAGAAGCAAAAGAAATGAAATGGGAATATTTAAATTATATGACGTCATTGCCTATTATCTATCCAGGATTTCATCTGAGAACAAGTGCTGTACATAGGAAGGAGGTTAAAAATCAAGAAAATTTCAAATGTGCACGCTTGGGGTATCCTGTATCTTAATGTTAATTCCAGATATGTCTACATTATAATTCTCTGTGTACTTGGATGGCCCTACACCACATCTGTAAATACAATTAATGGAATTCAGCAGGAGTATGAAAAGCATATTTAGCTACAAAGAATCATATGTAAGGTACTTAAACATACTCTTCCCATTTTCCATAAATTCATTTTTAAAATGGGCAAAAACATTAGCAATTGGGTAATTTATGATCATGGATAATAAGTATGGGTCTTTCAACACTTTATCTTAATTGGGTAGATTTAAATAAAATAAACTCTACAGAGTTCTTTTTTTTTTTTTTTTTTTTTTTTTTTTTTTTTTTATGAGGA